CGATTACAGGGCAAACTCCTACATCCAACGCCACTGTCGCCCTACTTACAACATAACTTGAGCTACAGTCAGATTACCAAAACGGGTGTCAATTATTTGATTGATTATTACACAGTATTGGTTTAAGGGATTGCTGAAGGGTCAATGAGTCGATGCAATCAGCTTGTTTTCATTTGATAGGAAACTTTGAATCAATCTGAATGTATGATCTACATAAAATTCTGTCTGTTGGAGGACCTTGAGAAATGTGTTAAGGTGTCCTTCTAGCTCAAGGTTTAGCATTTCCTCTATAGTTGCGCTGCTCCACACTCGTCGCAAACCCAATGAGACCAGCACCCAATGAAATCATGTAGTAATTGTCAATATTTTTGGATAAAGTAATAAATTTATTAGCCCCCCTAAGTGGGCCTACCACCAAATCCCATTGTGAGCTATTACTGTGGTCACTTATCTAATTTAAAAATCTTTTAATTGAACGCCAAACTTGACAAAATCTGAATAAAAATGCACTTCATACTTCATAAACCACTGACGCAGAATAATACACAGTCACTTTTCTTCACAGGCAGGTAAATACATACCGGTATGCTTTTCCAGCAGCTACAGAGCACAGCCTTTGAATAGAGTGGAGAAGTAGCCATAAGATGGTTCTGAAGGATGCTCAAACAATTGGCCGATCAAGCTGAACCATCAGATGGGTTACTATCCCATAAATCGGATACTCATGGCTTACTATCCCATAAAACCCTGCAGTATTGTTGTGTTGGTCTATAGTCACCAAATTTCTACAAGTTGTGCAATCAAATACACTTGTGTCAGCATTTCTCTTGAAGGTTAAACTGGTGGATAATTTGGAGCAATAGGGGTTTTCCCTAATAAACATTTCTCTATACATAATATGTATAACACTGCAATCAAGAGTGCAGCCTCATGTATCAGGGACAGTGCACCTATTGATTATTTTCATTTCTGCCCACTGGCTAAGGACAACATTGAGGGAGAGCCATATAAACTTAGAAATCAATAGCTTTCCATTTACCAACTGTATTCCTGGGCTGACCTCAGTAAGGTGAACAACAGAGGGAAAAACCCCTGAATAATAACAATAGAAATGGAGATCAACAGCAAGTAATGCCTTCTAACCTTAAAGGAATATTAAAGGAATAGTACACCCAAAACATGATTAGCCTTCATTTTCTACTCACCCCCATGCTGAACAACACCCTGGAGTATTTTTTTGATATCTCAAATGCATCTGGAGATCTGGGAGGCTTCTTGCTGTCTGCTGACATTCAAATAATGGAGGTCTATGGTGCCCGAGACAGAAAGGTCCATAAAAGTCCACAAAAAAAGTGTCAATATTCCTCCATACTGCTCGTCCAATGTATTCCAAGTGTCCTGAGTGGGTAGCATCCAGAATTTACTCGAAACGAAGTCATTTAGAATGTTTTTAGAGCATAAACAGTAGTGTATAGGATTTCCTGAAAGCGCGCACATGCACGTTCACGACGCTACGGAAGCCGGCAGACCAAACCAGATGAAAGTGCGCATTCAGCGTCTGCTCTGCCAATAATGCAAGCGTAGAAGAAGAAATGTGCTGTTTACCTGTGCAAAGAAAGAAACAACGAAAGAAAAATGTCTGAGGACTTCAGTGTTGAGGAAGAGCATGAGTTCTTTGTCGAGCTGAATGCGCTGGTTTGGTCTGGCGGCTTCCGTAGCGTCGTGAGCGCGCATGTGAGCGCTTTCAGGAAATCCTATACACTACTGTTTATGCTCTAAAAACATTCTAAATGACTTTGTTTCGAGTAAATTCTGGATGCTACCCTCTCAGGACAATTGGAATACATTGGACGAGCAGTATGGAGGAATATTGACAAGTTTTTTGTGGACTTTTATGGACCTTTCTGCCTCGGGCGCCATAGACCTCCATTATTTGAATGTCAGCAGACAGCAAGAAGCCTCCCAGATCTCCAGATGCATTTGAGATATCAAAAAAGTACTCCAGGGTGTTGTTCAGCATGGGGGTGAGTAGAAAATGAAGGCTAATCATGTTTTGGGTGTACTATTCCTTTAAGAGCACATTACCCTCATTGTATTCAAGCAAAATCTTTGTTTCAATTCAATTCAGATTATTTATATAGCACCAATTCACAACAATGTCATCTCAAGGCACTTTACAATTAAACCA